AATGAAGTGCGAAGACTTCTCCCACCGTCGAGAGGAAGCCCCAGGTACTCCCGCTCCTACGTCCATCTAGCGGGGTTTTTGACCAGCAAACTGCCCCTCGCCATTTTTATTTGCTGGAGTGGTCTTTCCAGAGGCGGGTGTGGATAGACGAATGAAGCCAGGAAGTGATCAAGCATCTGGCTTTTTGAAACTGAGCTTTGTCTGGCCTCTACCCGTTGACCTTTCAGGCATGATTGGATCTGCGGCTGTGTAGCTAGCAAAGTCATAGATGCACGCAAACAATCACCCAAAGTCAAGGTGCAGTCTCGTCGTGATGTATGTATCCTAATGTACAAATGGATGGATTGGGATTAGAAATCGACTAACACCTCTAAGAGACTAATTTAAATTTGTCCACTTGACCGCGGAACTATTCAAGCAGAGCCCTGGTTACTTAGATATACCTTTCAAACAAAATCAACTGCAATTAAATCAACCACTAAACTTGTTTGGGCGTAATGCAGCTGCTTTGGATGTAAGACCCCAGAGCCAGATAGTGTATCATGCAGATATAATGAGAAATCGACTTCATCGACCCCATTGGAGTCCGAAAATGCTATCAGCTCTTTCGCTCTCGTCGCCGCAATGCATGGCAGCAGGCCAACCGTGTCATGTTTCGCTAAAGAAATTCCTCGAGTACATGATAAAAGCATGAGCTGAAGAACTTCAACTACGGCTGTGGGAGTGAAAACTTTGGTTACCTATTAACATCGTTATTTCAATCTTTCTCAAGCAAAACAGCGGGTCAGCCTTCCAATACATAGTGCATATTCCACCCGAGGCATGCGTTTTTACCTTAATACGCAATTTAGTACAATTAACCCAACTGTCACAAGGATGCCCTATCTAGAAGCCGGAAATTATAGTCCCAAGTTTCCTGAAATTAGGAAGCATACAACGTCTCAATGAAATGGGTATGATATCTAGTCATGCAACAATCACTGGTTGCTCTATTTAATTCGAATTGTTTGAATTGGCCCATTCGTTAGTTACCCG